TCTCTCCTGCTCAGGCAAGTACTAATCTGCTTCCAGACAGTGTAGACTAGTTGGGTTTTCTAGCATATCATATAAATAGCATTATATAGTTTTTTAATTATTTTAATTATTTTAAGATGCATTCATTGTGCTGCATGTATGAATTGATCACTTCTTTGGATGTGTCACAATTTGTCCATTGTAATGGTTAATTTGAGTTGTCAACTTGATTGGATTAAGAGATACCAAGGATTAGGAGGATTATGAGTGTGTTCATGAGGGTGTGTCTAGGAATGATTGGTATGTGGGACAGCCAACTGAAATGGAGACCCTCCCTAAGCATGGACAGCACCAACCAATAGGATGATGGCTTGAATGGAATAAAGGTTGGAAGAACAAAGAAGCAGCAGCAGATGCAAGCTCTATTCTTCTTGAACAGGTTCTTTATATATATATATATAGTTATAGATGGACACAATACCTTTATTTATTTTTATGTGTGCTGAGGATTGAACCCAGTGCCTCATGCGTTCTGACAGGTTCTTGATTGCTGCTGCCATTGATTGTCTGAGGATATCAGACTCTCACTTCTTCATTCTTCCAAAGTGGATTCTCCAGAAGCCTTTAGTCTCAGACTAGGGTAACACCATTGATCCCTCTTGTTGTGGGGCTTCAGCCTCTTGGACTGCACAGCTACTGGTTCTTCCAGCCCTCCCTCCTGAAGATGGCCAATGTGGACTATCCAGCTTCTGGTTGTGTAAGCCAACCTAATAACTCCCCCTGTTATAATTATACTTCCTGTCGATTCTGTTCCTCTAGAGAACCCTGACTAGTACAAACATTCACCTTCAAGTGGATATTTGGAATATCTCCAGTTTCTAGTATGGCAAGTGTAGCTACAATAAACCTTTGGTGTAAGTTTTTTAATAGGCATATACTTTCTTTCTTTCTTTAGGTATTGGGTAAATATCTGGGAGTAGGTTAGATGTTCATCTCATTAAAAAAAAATACTGGTAAACTCTTTTCCAAGATGTTACATTTCATATTCCCATCAACAGTGTTATAAAATCCCTTGTTCCTCCTATCCTCACTAACACTTAACATGGGGAGTCTTTTAAATTCTTAGTCATTCTAATTTCAATGTGGATGTATCTCCTTATGTTTTTAATTTGCATTTCCTTAACAATGCATGATGTTGAGCATCTTTTCATGAGTTTCTTTGCCAGCTATATAGCTTTTTTTGAAGCGTTTTATTAAATATTTTGCCCATTTTTTAAATTGAATGGTTTATTTTTTATTATGAAGTTTAGAGAGTATTCTATATTTTCTGGATATAAGTCTCTTTATCCAATATATGCTTTACAAATATTTTCTCCCAGTCTATGGTTCACCTTTGCATTCTCTTAACACTGCCTTTTTTTTTTTTTTAAAGAGAGAGGAGCGGGGGAGGGAGAGGGAGAGAGAGAATTTTTAATATTTATTTTTCCGTTTTCAGCAGACACAGCATCTTTATTTTATTTTTACGTGGTGCTGAGGATCGAACCCAGCGCCCCGCGCATGCCAGGAGAGCTCACTACCGCTTGAGCACATCCCCAGCCCAAACACTGCCTTTTGAAGAATAGAACATTCTAATTTTGGCTAAGTCAAATTTATCCATTTGTTTTCTTATGGATTTTGGTTTTGGTGTCATATCTAAGGAATTTTTGCCTAAGCCTTGATTACAAAGAATTTCTACCATATTTTTATACAAAAATTTTGGGGTTTTAGGGTTGGAAATATGAATCAGTGGTAGAGCCTAGCACTTGCTAGGGCCCTGATTTTGATCCCCAAAACTACAAAAGTAAAATGAAAATGTAAATTTAGGTTGTACATCTAAATCTGTAGTTCATTTACAAGTTAATTTTTATGCATAGTATGAGAGAAGGATCATAGTTGCCTTTTCAAAATAAATTTGATCTAATTGTTATAGCCCTGTTTGCTAAAAAGATTATTCTTCCTCCACAGATTGCCTTTACATCATTGTCAAAAATCAGCTGTTCATATATGTAGAGTCTATTTCTGGATTCTCATTCTGCTTCATTAATCTACTTATCTACTTTTATCTTCCATGATTACGATACCTTTGTAGTATTTCTTGAAATCAAAAAACAATTAGCCCTCCAAACTTGTTATTTCAATTTCTGTTTCTTCATTACTAATATATAGAAACACATTTAATTTTGTATTTTTAAATACAACTAGTTTTTAATATATCTATTTTACATTTTGCAACCTTGCTGGGCTTCCTAATAATTCTAGTATCTTTAGGTAGATTCCATAGAATTGTCTATATACATTGTAAATACACAGTTCTATTTTTCCCCCCAATCTGGAAGTCTTTTCTTTCTTTTTCTTGTGTTATTGTAATGGCTAGAGTCTTAAGCACAATGTTAAATAAAAGTGATAAAAATGAACATCTTTGCATTGTTCCTGTTATTAGGGATAAGGAGAAAATTTTCAGTTCTTCTGTATTAAGTATGATATTAGTTATGGATTTTTCATAACTGCTCTATATCAAATTGAAGAATTTTTGTTCTAATATAGTATTCAGTGCTAGATATTTCTCCTTAAATATTGCTTTACTAACATTCCACAAATTCTGACATGTGGAGTTTTCATTTAAAAATACTTTATACTTTCTCTTTTGATTTCTTCTTTGATCCAGGGGTCATTCAGAAATACAGTCATATGCCTCCTAATGTGCTTTTAGTCAACAACAGACCACATATACAATGGTGATTCCATAATATTTTATCACCTAATGACATTGTAGCCATCTTAGTTGTGTTAAGTACACTCTGTGATTTTTGCATAATAAAATGATCTAAAAATGCATTTTTTTTCTTATTGCATTTCTCAGAACATATCCCCATCACTAAGTGATGCATGACCATGTTATTTTTGTTTCCAAGTATTGGGAGATTTTTCAAATATCATTCTGTTACTGATAAACTCCACCATTATCAGAGAATGTACTTTGTATTACTCAAATCCTTTTAAATTTTTTGAAACTCATTTTTACAGCCCATGATATGGTCTATCTTGGTAAATACTCTGTATGTACTTAAAAAGAATGTGCATCTACACATCGTGAACAACCACAAGATTAGGATCCTAATTAAAATAAATTATACTCTATGTATATATGAACATATCAAAATACACTCTACTGTTGTACATATCTAAAAAGAATAAAAAAGAATGTGAATTCTAATTTTGTTAAGAGAGTGTTCTATATATGTCAATTAGGTTGTCTTGTTTGATTAGCATTGCTCAAAGCTAGTAGTATATCTTTGCTAACTTTTTGCCTAGATTTTTTTTTTTTTTTTTTTTTTGGTACCAAGGATTGAACCCAGGGGCACTTAATCTTGGCCCTTTTTGTATTTTATTTAGAGACAGGGTATCACTGAGTTGCTTAAGGCATCGCTAAATTGCTGAGGCTATCTTCAAACTCACAATCCTCCTGCCTCAGCCTCCCAAGCCACTGGGATTACAGGTGTGCACCACCACACCCAGCTTGCCTAGTTATTTTATTGATTATTGAGAAAGAGTATTGAAACGTTCTACCATGATTGTAAATTTGTCTCTTTTTCCTTTTAGTTCTACTAAGGTTTATTTCATGTATTTTGAAGCCCTGCTATTGGGTACATAACCATCTAAGATTATATCCTCAGTAAACTTACCCTTTTTTCATCGTGGAACTTACTTCTTCACTGTTGGTAGTACTTTACTTTGCAATATGTATGTTATCTGGAAATGGTGTCACGAGCCTAAAATCCCAGCAACTTGGGAGCTTAAAGCAGAAAGATCAGAAGTTCAAGGCCAGCCTCAGCAACCTAGCAAAATCCTGTCTCAAGATAAAAATTTAAAAAGGCTTCAAACATAGCACAATGGTAGAGTGGCCCTAAGTTTCATCCCTAGTACTAAAGAAAGAAATAAGGAAGGAAGAAAGGAAGAAAAATGGAGAGAGAGAGAAAAAGGAAGGAAGGTAGATATAGATATAGATATAGGCCTATAGGTATATCTGGTTTACTTTTAACTAGCATCAGCATGGCACATCTTTCTGAATTCTTTTATTGTTAACATTTTGTCTTTAAGGCATATTTTTTATATAGTTGGTTCTTATGTTTGATTTTTTTAAAATTCAATCTTCTTTTTAAACCTCTTGTATTTACAATGATTGTCGATATGGTTAAGTTTAAGGCTATTCTCTTGCTATTTGTTTTTTATTTGTACTGTGTCAGTCAAATTTCTGTTGCTGTGATAAAATACCCAAAATAATGAACTTAAAAAGGAGGAAAGTTTTATTTGGCTCATGATACCAGAGGTTTCAGCCCATGGTTACTTGGCCTTGTCACTTTGGGCCTGTGGCAGCACAGTACATCATGGCAGGAGTACATGTCAGAAGAAATTACTCACCTCATGAGAGCCAGGAAACAAGGGAGAGAGAGAGAGAGAGAGAAAGAGAGAGGGGGGGGCCTGGGATTCCAATATCTCCTTAAAGTAATACCCCAAATGATCTCTTTTCTTCCACTAGGCCCCACATCCTAAAGGTAGCAAGCCTTCAACACATGGGCCTTTGGGATATATTTCAGATCCAAACTATAGTGGTACCAATTAATGTCTTTTTCTCTCATTTTCTTCCTTCTTTTGAATTAATTATTTTTATTATTTCATTTCATCTTGACTTACTACATATAACTCTGTTTTGTTCTTTCAATGGTTGTTACAGGCTCTATGCCTACCTTTACACATACACATCTTTTATAGACTCATCACAGTCTGTCTTCAAAATATGCTGCACCATGTCATGTAAAGCCTAAGCACAGAACAATGCATTTCCATTTCTTCCCTCCCAGCCGCTTTGAAATTATTGTTACACATTTTACTTACACTTTGCTGACAAACTCTAAGATACATTATTGTCATTTTTTATATAATTATCACGTAAAGATTTGCTTTGATCTTATAGATTTACTCACATAGGGACATATCCAGTGCTCTGTATGCCTTTGTGTGCATTTAGATTTTCATTTTCTTTCTTCCCAAAGGATTGTCTTTAACATTCCTTGTAGTGCAGATCTGCTGGCAATGAATACTTTCACCTGTTGCATGTCTAGAACAAAGTCTTTAGTCATCTTCATTTTGAAAAGATATTTCCACCAGGTATAAAATTTTAGGCTGACTTTTTCTTTTTTCTGTTGGTCCTTTAAAGATACTAGTCCACCGTTTTCTCATTTATTTCCCATGAGAAATTGGCTATCATCTCCATCTTTGTTCTTCTTTACCTTATGTGTCATTTTTATCTGATTGCTTTTAAGATATGTTTGATTAGGATTTGCCCTGGTGTCATTTTCTTGCTAAAACCGTGTTTTACACAGGATTGTATTTCTCCTATTTTGCTGACTCTAGTTTCCAAAATGATGGCTGATAATCAGGTAGGACTGACCTAATCAAAAGAGCCACATACATAATAATAAAGAAAAAGGCACCTTCTTAAGATTTCCAAGGATTTGTGTGACTGAATCCACCCAATGGAAAGAGAACTACATATATTTTACCAATTAACTTGGCCAGTTAGAAATTCCAAAAGTAAAATTTTAATTGCCTCTTCTAATATTTCCTCTGTGACAGTGACAGTTTTAAAGCATGGCTCCAGCAATGTTTCCTGCCCTGGATCTGGGTTCTATAACCACTGGACGGAGAGGACACAGCAGTGGCAACAATATGCCAGTTTTTTGGTGAAGACATTAAGACCCTGTCTGTTCTTACTTTATCTCTCTTGAGATGTTTGTTTTGGAATCCAGACATAAGTGAACCCAAACAACCTGGAGAGAGGCCCGTGTGGAAAAGAAGTTCACAGCTCACTCCCTTGGCTGAGTTTCCAGAGAACCAGCCACAGACACATGAGCGAGACATCTAGAAGGGGATCTGCCAGCCTCCATTGAGCAGTTCCAGCTATGCTGGGTGGAACAGAAATGATCTGACCGAACTTGCCCAAAATGAATGATTGCTCTTATTTTAAGCTTTCCGGTGATTTTTTACACCCAGCTCTCTCAGGCAAGTAGCTTCTGTTCTGATGCCCTGGATTTCCCTCTAATCTGTTACATGACCCGTGGTGTTCCGTTCCTTTTCTTTTGCACTGAGATGGTCCTGTCCTGGCAGGACTTTTACTGTTGTTCATGGGCAGTATTTGACCTATGAATCTGCATATCTTCAAAATGTATTCTATTTAAAACTTTATCAACTGGTTTCTACTGAGGCTCTGAGTTCCTCTGTTTCATGCCACAGAATGCTGTTTGCATACTCTGTGTATTAACCACTATCTCTTGCTAGTCTTCTAATCTACAAATTCTGCTTTGGCATCTCTTTTCTCTGCCTAAGCAATATTCTACTCATTGAACTCATCTCCGCCCATACTAGCTATTGAAATTCAAGTTAAGCATAAAAGTACATATTTTTAAAACTTCCATTTGTGCATTTGCTGAATCAGGGTTCAGTCAGAAGCTAGAAACTACATGAGTTATTTGAAAATAAAGAGTTCAGTGGATGTTAAGAGTTACAAAGATCTTAATAAGGTAACTGTATTCACCAGGGATCTCCAGAAAAAAACAGAACCAGACTCTCTTAATATATATAAATAAATCTATTCCAAGTAATTGAGTTTATACAATTGTATTAATGAGTCCAAGACCTCTGGGGCAGGTTGACAGGCTGGAAGCTCTCAGGCAGGAGCTTATGTTGCAGACATGAGGCAAAATTTCTTCTTCCTCTAGGAAACCTCAGTTTTGCTCTTAAAGTCTTTCAACAGATCATTGAGGTCCACCCACACTATTAGGATAATCTACTTAAAGTCAATGTAATGACAATGTTTACCACATCTTCAACAAACCCTCATAATAACACCTGGTTAGAATTTGAATAAATAACTGGGTATCCGCCAAGTCAAAACACCATATTAAATGAATCATTTATGTGACTAAAATATCGTGAAGGTTGCAACTGCTGAGATCTGAGGAAGCACATGACAAAGGTTGAAATTACTCAAAATTGGAAACTTTTCAGGCCCTGAGGACCTGAAACTCAGATATCTGAGCAGAAGACATTACTCAGCCAGAGCTCATCATCTGGGCTCACAAGAGGGACCCAGAGAACTAAGACCCGAATCTTTACAGAAGATATACTTGCTGCCTGTTCCTGGTGGCTCCATGGAAAACACGACGAAGTTCATTCAGTGTTAGAAAAACTGTACACTGGGTTCTGTCGCTGGTCACAGCAGAAAATGTTGTTGTTCTGATGAAGAAGATTTGCCGGGGTAACAGAAGAACCATGCACAGACAGGAGACCCTCAGGAATCAAACAGAAAGGAGAAAACCACTTGTTCTTCCTCCAGTTTTGAAATCTCCATCTAGTGTCCTTATTGGCAGAGCCATCTGGAAAAGCAGGAATGTAGGCTCACAAAATATAAAAGGTTGGGTTTAGCACTGAGAGGCAATAACTGAATAACAGATACATCCCGCCCCTTTGGCTATTCAGCGTCCATAACACCACTCCACACACACACACAAAAATGTGAACCTCAATATACCACAAAAATTCTTCATTTCTTCTTAACAAAATAAAACAATTCTGAATATAAACCAAGATGTGTTGTCTTCTTCCTAAAATCAGAATTGTAAAGTCCCAGCTATCATTGGATTCATCTCTGAACCATGTTAATTGCTTCTCAAATTCCCATCTGAATATATTTCCTAAAAAAAAAAAATGTAAAGTTAACAATCAACAAAACTTGCATGAAGTAATATGGCTAAAGAGGAGAAAGAAGAATGAAATAATATGCACTCTCTCTCTCTCTCTCTCTCTCTCTCTCTCTCTCTCTCTCTCTCTCACACACACACACACACACACACACACATACAACCACAACAAGCAAATAACTGAATTTTGGTAGGCCATTACATCTTTCTATTAGGCCAGCTACTTCTGTATGATGGGGTATGTGGTTGTACTGGTTAGTTCTGTTCATGAGGCCATCATTGATATTTATAATTTCCTCCTTCCACTACCCATTCCATGCTTCCTTGATCTTCATCCAGTTCCCCGATGACTGGAGTTTTTGTATGACAGGGTAATCCATCTTGCCTGAAGGGTCTGAACCATCAGTGGTTATGTCTTTAGCCAGCAGGTGGGAGTTCGCTGTCTTCTATTAACTTTACTATCAGACATGGAAATCCTAAAAGGATCCCAGAAAATTTCTCTGGCTTCCAGATATGCTCTTTCCTGCTCTCATGGAATGCCAGTATCCCAATTTCCCTTTGGTAATCAAGATGAATCACCCCAAGCCGGGCGCAGTGGTGTGTGCCTGTAATCCCAGCAATTTGAGAGCCTGAGACAGGAGGATTAGAAGCTAAAAGCCAGCCTCAGCAACTTAACAAGGCCCTAAGCAACTTAGTGAGATCCTGTGTCTAAATAAAATATTAAAAGGCCTTGGGATGCAGCTCGGTGGTTAAGTACCCCTGGGTTTGATCTCTGGTACCAAAAAATAATAATAATAATAATCCCACCAGCCACAGAGTAACAGTCTTCTTTCTTCTTTACCTGTTGTTTCAGTAGCATGAGAAGCCCAAAAAAGCCGAATATTAGCTTTATTTTCCAAATTAATGAACGTTGGTATATTTCCTGGTAGAGGTATTCCCCCATTTAGAAATCAAGACTCCAAACCAGTGGAATTCAAAGTTGCAGATGTGGAAAGGAAAAATTTTGTGAGTAGACTATGAGATTTAATAGCAAGAGAAGCCAGTACCCCCTCTACTTCTGATGCCCATACCCATGTTGTCTGGCTATGAAAAACACAGAACCATATAACTTTCTCTTATTAAAGACAATCCACAGCCTATGATATAAAACCCCATCCTTTCAGGGTATAATCTCCCAACTGGTGCCATAACTGAATTTTGGTAGGCCATTACATCTTTCTATTAGGCCAGCTACTTCTGGATGCTAGGGTATGTGGTTGTACTGGTTAATTCTGTGGGCATGAACCCATTATAGTACTTGTTTGAAATGTCTTTTTTAATTTTTTTAACCACAAGCAATGTTGTCTGCAGAATGCCATATTTTGTAATTGCAGATGGTGATTTTGGCAGAAGAAAACAAATCTACACTCAGAATACATGTCTTTTATGGTGAGGAAAAAAAAAATGTTGTTTCCCTCCCTGATGGAAGGGTTGTAATGTAATCAATCTGCTACTGAGAGCTGGGTGGGTCCCTCAGGGAATGGTAACATATCAGAAGTTTAGCTTAGTTGCCAAGTTAGGCATTTAGCACTATTGGTAGACAAGAAGCTTTGATAAGGGAAAGACCACGCTGTGAGTTCAAGCATAGTCCCCCACCTTAATAGTATGGCCATCTATACACGTGCCCTGTGAGCAAGTACTCAAATAGCTGGGGAAAGATGGTTACTGAAACCTGCACAGGTTATTTGCCTACCTTCAATCAAGAGTCTCTTAAGCCTGGAACTGACTTAAGCCTGCAAAGTGAGTGAGAGGCTGGCTACCCAGGTTGTTCTTTAGAAACTACGCCTTTTATATAGATCAAGCAACATTTTAGTAAGCTGTCTTTTTTTTTTCATTCTTAGGTGCACTATGATCAATTATTCCCACTAAAGATCCTTACATTTAAAAATACTTTGACTACCCATGTGTCCCTTCTTTTTCAAAGGAAAGTGTAGCTCCTTTGTCTCTGATGGTTGAGTTATAATGTTTGGCCTCTGCACCAAGGGAATCCCATTATTCCCATTGAAATCAGAGAGCCCAACTGGATGGCAGTATCTTTCGGCATGTGTCTGCTCATAAAAGGCAGCTGCCATAAAATGTTTCAAAGACGCAAATACATCTTCAGTGATGAATTTTCTCAATGTCTTAATGAAGGAAGATTCTCTGGGCCCTCCAGTGGATCTAGCTGGAGATTTCCTGTGATAGAGTCACTCTCTCATTGAAGATGCATTCCAAATTAACTAAGCCTATGG